TGATTTAATTACACCTTTTTTTACACACATGCAATGAAGTTAAACGCTTCCAAAATGTGACTTTGGAATTGTGTATGCTGTCAATTGTTTTTCTTTTAATTGCACTTATTATTAAATTTTTGCCTAGGTGTTTTCTCTGTCCACATTCAAGGCCTCTTATATTAATTAACAAGAATGTTTTTGTTATCTCTGTTCATTAAACAAAGCATTTTTCCTCCACTTAGTCCAGTGGTGGCGAACCTATGGCACGAGTGCCAGAGGCGGCACTCGGAGCCCTCTCTGTGGGCACATATGCTGTTGCCCCAGCCCCGCCTCCCCCCACAGCCCCCTCCTCATCAGCAGCCCCCCACCCGGAGGAGAGTCACCCCGGGTGCGGCCCAGGCAGAACAGTGCAGCCAATCACATGGCAGCTGGGCAGCAGATGATGCTGCGGGGCGTGGGCGGAGGGCGTGGCCACCATGGTGCTGAAGGGCCACCTGGGCAATCTGTGGCGGGCCGCGGATGGCCCTGAGAGCGGGCAGGGTGAGAGTAGAGCAGGGCGGGGGTGGGTGGGTGAAGCGGGGACAGGCTGGGGGCGGGGCGGTTTTGGGCACTCGATCTCTAAAAGATTCGCCATTGCTGACTTAGTCCTCCATAGTTTAACTTTCTTAATATGGGCAGCCCCATAAAAGAGCCCTCCATGATTTGCTAGCTCTCAGTTCCCAGAATCCTTTGTGCTGTCTAAGAATTCTGGGAATTGAAGTCCAACCTGTCTCCCCAAAACAGCAACCAATTTGGCTGCTCAGATTGACCTCAGCCCGCTCAGACCTTACACAACCGAGAGCTTCCCGAGGTCTCAGGCATCACCTTGCTATGGGCGTACACCACCGATCCCAGAAGCTTCCAGGTGCCTCCTCTGCGGTCCATTCGAATCATGCGCAGGATTTGCAGAAAGCGCAAACTTCTGAGAGCCGAGGTGGCAAAAACGTTCCCCTGAGACCCAGCAGCCAGCACAGCGATGGAGGCAATTAACACCATGATGTCTGTATAGAAGGAAGAGGACTATGTCA